TTGTCTTTTTAAATATTGTAAGCCTTCCTGAGATCTTGTATAATAGGATGGCATACAGAAGCTTTTTAATAATATTAATAATAATAAAATAATATTCTTAACTGCCTGCCTCTTGAAACCCAATGCAAGATCAGCATAAATGGATTCTCCATGCCCTTTTTGACAGGCAAAAGATTAACACTGTAAGATAGGAAGGATACAACATCATCTGCTGTAATATAGTGGCAATGAACTTGATGAAACTGATAAAATGTATATAATTTTATTTTTCAAGTAATTTAGGTCATCTTTAAGCATAGAACTTGCTGATTTGGGGACAGTTTCTGTGCAGTTTGCTCTTAAATATGAACCATCACTCTAGTCACATACAAATGCTTCCCAGTAAGAGCTGTTTATTTTCCAGCACATGTTTCTGGTTTCAAATTCAGCCTACATGGTAGCTTTCACGCTAGCCCTTTTCTCAAGAATTGCCATACTATGTTCACTCATTTTTTAGTGGAGCATTCAGATATCAGTAGTGGCTTATTGCATCCAGACTTTTTTCCGTGTTGTTCTTTTTTTATTAGTCTTGACTTTAGCACCACCCTATCTCATGTGAGCAGGAAATTATCTAGTGTGAGCTATTGAGGCTTTTAAGTGCACCTATGTTTTTAACTCAACACATCCTGTTTTCAAGTCCTACCTGTTTTATTGTTTCCTGATAAGCTTTGTATGCTTCCCGAGGAGTAGAGGTGAGGGATTTGTGATAGTCAATTTATTGCTCCTAAAACAGATCCACTTAATTACCTTGGTGTCAGCTTTTATTCCTGTGGAAGGGAAGAAGTTCTACTTACTGGTTTCCTCCTATTACTAGTTCTTTCTTTTTGTATTTTATTGTGAAATACTTGGAGGAAATAAGTAATGAATCCCAATAACAACTCTACCCCAGTAGAAAACCTGTCACTGCCACCAATTAACAATGTCACCAACTTGGATGGCTTTGAGAGGGAATTTAGCACATTCATGGAGAACAAGGCTATCAGTGACTACTAGTCACTTTGGCTATCTATTACCAAAAACAGCATGCCTCTGTAGGCTAGTTGCTGGAGAACATGAGCGGGAGGATGTTAGGCTCCAGCATGGCTTTTATATTCTTGTGTATATTCAGAAAAAAGTCCTACTGTGTTCAATGGGGTTTGTTTCCAGATGTAGGTGTTCAGGACTGCAGTCTGAGTGGCTACTCAACAGGGAATAAATAGGTCAATCATCACTAATCCCTCATCTACATGAATCAAGAAACTATAAAATGGACTGAACCTATAAGAAAGAAATGTTAGCTAATATTGATGGAAATTCAGGCTTAGTTATGTGCAAACACAGAGGGGGGAATTTGTAGCTGTGGACATATGTGCACTCAAATCTGTGCAGAACAGTCATTTGGAACATTCTACAGCTCAACCAAGTTTTAGGATGGAAACCTGCCCAGCTCCTCTGCACATGCCCTGTCCTTGGTTCCTGCTAACTACTCAGTCCTGAATTTGCTACAGTGAAGAAAAGTAAAAAGTGAGGCATTTAAGAAAGGAGGAAAGGAAGAAAATGGGTCATGTGAGTTCTCAAATGCACCACATCTGTGAACTTGAAGCATCAAGTATAAGTAAGCACCCTGTCCTTTTTTGTTGAGTTTGGCAAACCTTAGGTGTGCTGCTTTGGCAGGACTGACAGCTCAGAATCTGCAAATAAAGGGTGTGCAAGAGAGGTTGCCTACCATAAAGGGACTGACAGCTCAGACTCTGATAACAAGATGAGTGTTGAAACGGTCACAGTTCCAGCTGCAGTCCAAGGCCCTGGGTACCCAGCTATGCCTGCTATGGGAGAGATTAGTTCAAGGGCAGCTGAGGGCCCCAGTCAATTTGCCCGTGGGAATGGGGAAGAGCAACAACATCTTGAAGGAGGCTATTTAGAGATAGGGATTCTATCAGATTGAGAATTCCATCAGATACCGATGATTCATAAGAAAAGCTCTGAGTGAAGAATGTCAGAGAGGGTTCAAAATGTTGCTTCGTGTATGCTCAGGGATTTGCATGTAAAATGAAGACAATTGGCAAAGAAGCCCTGGAGAGACTATTACTACTGGGAGGAGAAGCACAGCTCACAATAAGACTTTGTCGTTATGCAAAAGTAGGAATGATTGGTCACAATGTAAAGCACATTAGTTGTACATCTAATGGATGGAGGTAATAGCAAAGACCACCTTCATGGTGTGGAGTCAAAGGTCAACAGTAGCTATTGCTTTGTATGGTTTGAGCCAATACTACTTGACAGATTTCAAGGTGGAGTTTTACACTGGTGTGTGAGAAGACTGAAGAGCCTCCAGTGTTTTAGCTGAGAATGCTACTAAGCCTTTAATGGAAAGCAGGGCTTAGCCCTTAGTCTTCAGAGAGTACAAGAAATTAAAGATAGTTGGGAAACCACAGGATATTGGATTTTGTTGCATCAGAACTATGAAGGTTCACACTTCCTTTCACCTTATTGTGTGAAAGGTTGGAGTGAAGGATTTGTGTGAAGCTGTTAGGCCTTCTAGAACTTACTGTAGGTTAGTTATTTTCCAGGCCATGAGACATAAAGCATGTTATTTGTTGTTCACTGAAAGAAGATCAGAAGAGAGGGGAGGCAGAGGTTGCAGTCAACTGGAAAGAAGACTGACACACAATTGCTAGAGTTATCAAGAGGTGACAAGGATACAGTAGGCCCTATCCACACTTTTTTTTTCACAGTTTTTATGATCACTGGAAAGGGAGAGAGGGTATATGTCAGAACTCCAGTTCTGTAAAAGGGAAAGGCATCTCCCAGGAATTCCAGGTTTTCTCCTGTTCTGCTGCAGAACATTTTGTGACCATGGTGTTAGCATCTAAAGTCTAGTCAGAAAGCACAGCATAAGGGTCTCCCTTAAAAGTGACATGCTGCCTTAATTAAGGAGCTGTGCTATAAATTAGCTGAGATAGAGCTTTCTATCTGTTTTAGACAAAAGTATTTTAGCTCAGTGTTTTACCTTGATTGAGGGTGGGGTTTAGGAGAAGGATTTCTTTACTACCTTGTTCATTTATGACTAAAGTTGTTTTGCCTATTGTGAGCTGAATGGCTTTCCCTGTGATAGTGGGTTCAACACATGTAGGGCTTGGATGATTGGGAGAAGATCAAGTTGGTTCATATGCAGTGCTTTTTCCTGGTGAGTCCTTTCATTGTGAAAAGAAGTAATGAGACTCCCGGCCATGGAGAGTTCTATCTGTAGTGATGGATACTGATGGGAGTAGGATGCAGAAGTCAAACCCTGTCTGGATTAAAGGTTCATGAACCATGAATGGAACAGTGTCATGTATAGGTAGGCTTGACCTGAAGACTTCAGCCTTGATCAGTGGCCCTGGACTCTCTCAGCAAGGGTGGGAGTGCTGGCTTTACCACCTTGACAGTCCTCTCTACCACCGGGCTTAGCCTGTCCATCTGCCCTAATGTTATTATGTCAGCCTTTTTTCCTGGCTAACATGGGGGTAGGTGGGTTGAAGTACTGCTGAGTTGTTTTGGGGGCCTCAGTCTTGCAAAGAGGCCTGCCATATTTGTAGACTTGCCTGGTTAATCTTCCTGTCTATTTCCGTTGTCAAAGGGAGCTAGGAAATGGAGTAGGAAACATATCAGAAAAAGAGATGAGGAAATATTACACATAAGCTAATTTGTGCACAGTTGGCAGGGACCAATAGCCCAGCTGTCAGTTGAAAAGCACAACCGAAGCGGGAGAAAGTAATGAGAGTGACTCAATGTATGGAGGAAATACCTCCCTTTGGCAATGCTATCCTCTAGCTTTTAAGTGTTTAACTGACATTTCTTCCCCACACACATATTTTTGAAGCTCCTTTTCAGAGCACTTGTTGCTGTGGATAGTGTGGTTGCCTGAGAGTTCTAAAACACCTACAGAATTATATGCAAATATAACGGCTGGAACATAAATGGCCAGGAAAGGTATGGACAGTTACCTACAGTAACTACTTCGATTCAGAGTAACTTCTCCGAAAGGAGCTGCAGAAAAATAGTGAACTAATATCTCCCCTTTATGCAGTAGCTGGATGGCCAGGGAAATACTGAAAAGGTGAAGGACACTGAGAAGTATCCACTGGGAAGAAGTAAGCTTCCTTTGGAAGCCGCCCCGAGGCTTTTTGCGAATGGAGCAGCATATAAATGTTCCAAATAAATAAATAAATAATAAATAAATAAATAAAGTGACACGTCAACACTTAAAAGCCAGAGGAACATATTGTCAAGGGGAAGATACTGCCTGCCCCTCTCTTGATACACTTACTGTTACTGCTCCCCCCCCCGCCCCGCCCCAACTACTAGGCAATTTGTCCCTGGCAAATATGTGCAAAGTAGTTTCTATGTGGTTTCACTTTTTCCATTTCTGACCTTAAGTCTAGTACAGGTTCATTCTTACAAACCTGGTACATCATTGCATTTGTACTGATTCACTGTTTCTCTGAACTTTAAATAATTAGGGTTGAATCAAACTAATTCTCTTTGAAAGCAACGGGGTTAAGTTTATCATGCTCAACATTCTATGGATTTTAACTGTACTAAACTATAACTAACTTGGACTAGATCCAACCAATTGGAATGTATCAGAACTTCCAAAAGTATGTCCAATTTTTCTTCTTTTTTAAATTATCTAGGCATATCCTAGATCATTGTAATTTTAAAATTTATAAACTGCGTCTATAGCCCTGCATGGGGTCTCTGGGTGATGTACAGTTCCAATGTACTGGATAATTCCTATTCTTTTCAAATTGTTTATTATTCTTCACAGTGTGAGTATATTAATGGGGGATATTCTTAAAATAAAATAGAAAATTTCCTTTAAGAGAGTCTACCTAATTTAAAACAAGCTGGATATACATAACACATTAAGTAACATCATTATATTCCTCTTTTCTTTAGTAAAAACTTTGCGTCCTTAGCTGTATCTCAGATACACTTACCTGATACTGAGGTTTATACCACTGCTTCAAATCCCAGTCCCAAAGAATCATCTATAAGAAAACAAGCAGGAAGTTAAAACAATTAAAGTACTGTATACAAGCAAAAATTCTTTAACATCATCTTGAATTCTTTCAGAATAACAATGAATTGTAAATAATATTTCCCTGATTAACAGTAGCTGCCACATTCAGTTATTTTGTTGCACTCCAATCAGTAAGACCAAGAGGAAAACAACAGTTTTAAATGCAGTTAGGTCAAACAGAAATTCAACCATAATATTTGAATCTTTTAATTCTCCTTCTTTGATAAGATATATTGCTTAACAAATCATCAATTTTATGAACTCATTATTGTTATGTTTGAGAGCCAAAGTGGATGCAATCAGGCAGTCATATGTACCGTGTTTCCCTGAAAATAGGATCTATCCCGAAAATAAAACCTAGTCTTATTTCAGGGTAGGTCCTACAATATAAGCCTTACCCCGAAAGTAAGACCTATTACCAAAAATTATTGGTAATAGGTCTTACTTTTTTGCTTACTTGCAGAGTGCAGGCGGGGTGCAGAGGGCACAGCAGAGTGCAGAGGGTGCAGTGGGAGGATGCAGAGCAGCTTAAGCCGATACTTCCTCTATAGTCCTGGTTCCTGCGAAGGACTGAGTGATATCAAATGCACTCCGCCCTTCACAGGAGCCGGCACTATAGAGGAAGCATCAGCTCATGCCACTCTGCTTCCTCCGCTGCCTGTGACAGTACCAGTAGCAGGTGCTGGAGAGGATCGGTGTATACATCTTTTGGCAGCAATTGGAGTGCAGAGAAGAAAGGTGCAGAGCAGAAGGGTGCACAGCAGAAAAGTGCAGAGCAGAAGGGTGCAGAGCAGAAAAGTGCAGAGCAGAAGGGTGCACAGCAGAAGGGTGCACAGCAGAAAAGCGCAGAGCAGAAGGGTGCACAGCAGAAGGGTGCAGAGCAGAAGGGTGCACAGCAGAAGGGTGCAGAGCAGAAGGGTGCACAGCAGAAGGGTGCAGAGCAGAAGGGTGTACATTAAAAAAAAATAAGACCTACCCGAAAATAAGACCTAATGTATTTTTTGAGCAAAAAAAAAATATAAGACAGTGTCTTATTTTCAGGGAAACACGGTATTTATTCATGCACCTGCTCCGTTCACAGAGTGGAAGTGATCCAGGCAGCACTGAGATGCTGCTAGAGGGTGGTTCCTCTGAACAGATGGAAGGTGTTCAGCTTCTTCTGGATGGATTGCACTCCCCTTGAAGTAGCAGGACTATAACTTGGGGTTCCTCCCTCATATCTGTCACTTGAGGCTCAGGTGGCCTCAGTGGCATGGAATGCTATCTACCAGCTCCAGCAGGTTGCTCAGCTATGCTCCTATCTGGTCAGGGATAATCTGGCTTCAAGAATTCACTTTCTGGTAATTTCTAAACTTGATTATTGCAAGGAACTTTATGTGTACTTGAAGCCTGTTCAGAAGTTGAGGTTGCTGCAAAATGCAGCAGCTAGTCTAACAACAGAACCCTGTTCAGCAGCAAATCCACTATCCTTCCAGCACCAGGTTGACTGTTCTCTTGAACAAACTTTAAATAGGATGTTGCTGATATTATGTGCTGTCAAATCATATCCAACTTATAGAGATCCTATTTTTGAATATCCTCCAAAATGCTCTGCCCTAGATAGACCTGCTCAGCTCTTGTAAATTCAAGGCTGTGGCTTTCTTTATGGAGTCAATCAATCTCACATTTGGCTATCTTCTTTTCTGACTTTGACTTTCCCTAGCATGATTGTCTTCAGAGAATCTTGCCTTCCCATGATGTGTCCAAAGTTATAAGAGTTCCAGGTTTTGTTTTTGGTTTTTGTTTGTTTGTTCTTTTTTTTTTTTTTTACTTCCAGGGAAAGTTCTGGCTTGATCTGATCCATGGCTCTCTTGTTTGTATTTCTGTTTGTCCAGGGTATTTGCAAAGCTCTTTTCCAAGTCCATGTTTCAAATGCATAAACTTTCTTCCTACGGTTTTCTGTCACTGTTCAGTTTTCACACTCAATGGCACTAGCTCCTAAAACAATCCAGCTGTCCAGATTTGCACGTCATCTTCTATAACCTATGAAGGAGTTGATAATGGCTTGTGGCATAAAAGGGAAAAGGTGGGCTCACGTATGACAGTGCATTTCATTTGGTCTTGAATGTAAATAAGGTAAAATGAATTAAAAATACACAACTGTCTCATCATGTCTCATATGGCAATGTAACAGTCAAGAAAACATACAAATTCAGGTGGAAATTCTTTCTTTATTTTAACTTAAAACAAGCAGGCCATCCATATCACTAAAAAGTGTTTACCAAGCTTCACAATATGAACCATTAATATAGTAGTAATTATTACTATTGTTTATGTTATTATTAAGTTAACTTCACTATCCAAAACTAGGTTTCAAGGTGACATGGCAAACTGAGCTTCAACTCACAGATTCAAAATGATAGGTATAGTAATAACAGAAAATAAAATCTTACTAATAAATCCCAATCCAGAAAAGTGCAATTACTTCATCACAATAGAAAGGAAGCATCTACATGAAGAGAGATCTTGCATCTAGCCGCTTATAAGTTTGTGCACAGGACCAGCAGATCCTGCCTATGTTGAAAAAAAAACGCATTTTTTACCTATCCAGCTTCAGAGCAAAGAGGAGTGTAAAGCATAAACAGTTGTTCCCAAAACTTTTGCAATATTACAACAATCCCTAAATGAGAAGAAGCCTAATATTGTATTATGATAAATTATTTAAAAGACTAAACTATATTATAAAATTTGCTTCCAAAGATGGAGGAGACAGTCCCACTGATTAATCTGATGAGATTGTGGGTCTGGTTCTCTCTCTTTTATTTATTAAAAAAAATTGTAGGCCGTCCATTACTGTCGTCTCTGGACGGCTTACAACATTATTTTAGAAATCAATAAAATAAGATAAATTAACTATTCCACACTGAGCATCATTTAAAATAAATTAAATAAGTCATTTCACAATTAAAATTACTATGAGTTAAAATACTGGTCAAATAAAAAGGTCTCTTCCCCTTCCTATCCATTTCTGCAATACTTCCTAGCCACTCCTTCCCCCAAAGGGTTTTTTATTAAAATAAAATAAAGACATTTACCTAACTCCCCCCTTCAGGCATTTATCTATTTTTCCCATTTCTGGAAATACACACGTAGATAGGCCCATTGTTCAGCCAATGGGAATAAACTGGATGATGATGCATGTGTTTCTAGAGAACTAAGGGTAGTAGAGAATGGATGAGTGTGTGATTTTGATTCTGTGATTGCTTTTTCCACAGGACTCAAAGTTGTTTCTATACTAACAATGGTAAAATGGAGATCCCAGGTCTGTACAACTGGAGAAGCCATGGTGAAATGTGGTAACCTTAAAACTGACTGTTGATTCTCTCTATGGTTTTGGGAAACTAAAGATAACATGCAGAAATGCCATGACTGGGTCTGGATACACAACAGACCAACAAGGATAAGACAACACCTCAGCTTCTTGTGACATGCTAACCCAGACAACCTGTCCATTATTTAGCAAAATATAACTCTATCTGCTTCTTGCAATTATCTCCCTGCTATTCTTGTTTGTCTCTTCTTCCCCTACAAGCAAACATTTTTAAAATGCTGATGCACCTACTCCTAAAGTAAGTATAACGACCCCAAAAGATATTTCTCCTGTAGCTACCATGTGCTTTCAGTTTACAATTACCCTTCACTTCATAACTATTGCCTTCCTTAATGATTTTCTTTCGTTAGCTGTCATAACAACAGAAAACCAATGCAAGTTACAAAGCAGTAACAAGGACTGGTAAATATACACAATTTTTAAGGCACAGCAGGAACAGTTTTAGATAGAAGTATATAAATCTGACAGCCCAGAGTAAAATGTCAGGAGAAGATCATGTAAAGATCATACCTGCACTTGTACTTGCTCAAGAATAAACATTTTAAAAGGTTGTAAACCTATTTCAGACACTTTCTAGATTCCTTTCCTCTTGCTTTTTAGAAGCATGGGTCTGAAGTTACTGAGGAAGGATGAGGGAAGATAGCATTAGCTCCAGCAAAAAATAAGGGGAGCAGCAGATGTTTTAGCTGCTCTCCCAGGCAGCTTTCTAGCCATTTCTATCAATCCATGATGAAGTCATGGTGAGATGTTGTACAGTGTAAACCAAGACCACTTAAAGATAGTTTGATGACCATTTTCAGATATTTGAAGAAATGTTAAATGGGTTATGAAGAGTATTTGTTTTCTGTTGTTCTAGAGGTAGACCTGAAACAGTGGGTTCAAATTACAAGAACAGAGACTAAACATTAGGAAGGAAATCCTGACAGTATGAGCTTTTCAGCAGTCTGTTGCAGATTTATAAGCAGAGGCTGGATGACCACATGTCAGGGATGTTACGGTAGTGGATGTTCTGTATCTGACAGAATATGGTCATTGAGGGTGCTTCCAACTCTGATTTTTTTATGTTCTAGCCAGACATATTCCCCTAAAATTTTACAACATCCCACAAGGTGGTGCTCAAACCTAAAATCCTAGAAAATTATTATTTAGTTGGGTCCATGACTATAATTTGCTATTCAGAGAGAAAAGCACCATTCAGGCACTTGCATTCAGTAGTTATTTCATTTATTAATAGATTCATCATTGTCCCCTGCATACTGCTTCCCCTACGTAAAAACTGAGAATGTAATGTCCTGAAGGCATGAACTTGTCTTTTTTGCTTACATGGATGCTAACAGTGTGATATAAATAAACAGATTTTGTAAATAGATCTTTAATTCATTCAAAGCCAATTTTGAGTAATCAGCTATGGCCATAAAGCAGAGATGAAGAACCTCTGGCCCATCATATGGCTCACAGAAGCCCTTTCCCAAGACCAATCCTTTGGAGGTTACTAGAGATAGAAATTCACATTATTATCACCACTCAATAATCAGCAATAACAGCAGAAATACCCCTTGGCATGTCACTAACCAGCCACATTCATACGAGGTGAGACA